AAAGAGTGACTGGGACAAAACAGTAAACCAGTCAACATTAAATTCAGCTGCACACCTTCAGGTCTTTATAAGGTGCTCACAAATTGAGGATCCATAGGTGTTTTGGATCAGTTCATCTGGAACCAAGGTATGATTCCTGATCTTACTTGTCATGTGTCGTTTCATTCTTGCATCTATCAGGTCATCCCATAAGTTCTGTCTGAATTTTGAATAAAAGAAAACAAGTGACCAAATGTTACATTTAATTACAGATTCAATCAACAATGTATTTTCCCTGATTATCTATGACTTCCTGCCATCTATTAACAAGCTTACTAATTCCATTACTGTAAAATTCTTTTGGCTTTGATTCGAAGAACTCACAAATGTCAGTTTTAACATCTTCCTGTGTTACAAAAGCTGTTTCTTCCAAATGATTCTGTAAGCTACGAAACAAATGGTAGTCTGAAGGAGCAAGATCAGGAGAATAAGGTGGATGAGGAATTTTCTCCCAACCAAGTTCTTCAATCTTTTGTGACGCAATTCTTTCTGTGTGTGGTCGTGCATTGTTCTGATGAAACATCACCTGTCTTCAATTCACTAGAGCAGGTCTTTTTTTCCTCAAAGCTTGGTTCAAACACCCTAATTGCTGACAGTATATTTGAGCATTAATTGTTGTATTAGGTGGTAAGAATTCAAAGTGGATTATTCCTTGGCGATCCCATAAGATTGAAAGAATAACCTTTTGCCCATGAAGTTCCCTTCTCGGCTGTGGCTGGGGTCCTTCCCCTTTACCAAGCCACTGTCTACGATGCTTAACATTTCAATAAAAGATCCATTTTTCGTTGCCAGTTACAAGTCTATTCAAAAAAGGTGAAACAAGTTGGCGAGAATGGAGAGAAGAGCAGATGTCAACTTGGGATTTGAGGTTGTTTTCAGACAATTCATGAGGCACCCATTTTCCAAGTTTAGGAACATTTCCAAGTTGTTGAAGATGACGATGAACAGTTGCATGGTTTGAACTGAGAACCACTGCCAATTCCCCAACTGATAAAGGAGGATTTTCTTCAAGGGCTGCTTCAAGAAGCTTTTCATCCAACTCAACTGGATGTCCGGTTCAATCTTCATCTTCAAGGGTGAAATCTCCACCTCTGAATTTTGCATATCATCTTCTGTAAGTTCTTTCATTCACACATTCCTCTCCATAAACTGAGTGAATGTTTCTAACCACTTCGGCTGCTGAGTTTTCTTTCTTGAACTCATAAAACATTATGTGCCTCAAATGATTCTTGGGTACTTCCATGTTAGCAGGGTTTTAATCAAACAAAATTTAATTTTATTGTTCTCTGAAATAAAATTTGATCAGTTTAAATGCATCTAAACATAAAAATAATGTTCAGCTCCATTAGACATTCTAAAATACTCTTTAACTTTTGTTCATTTTAACAAAAGTTAAAATTCGGACAGAACTTATAGGATGACCTGATAGTTGATGGGGTAGTCAACCCTATGTAGCTGACTCCGCAACCACAATTGTATTTATATATAACAGAATTCACTTGATGAAAGGGAGAGAACATCCTTACGAATAGATGAGAGGATCGGCGTGGTATTGAATACGACACAAATCTCAGCAGAAAAATAACCCTCACGGACACTAGAAGAAATTTGCCTGGAAAGGTTTTTATAGTCAGCTCCAATCCATGGAAGTTACAAATAAACAAGGCAGCCTTCTTGTTCATACATTCACACCATAATTTATTATATTTCACATTCAACACTGAGATTTTGGTGGAAAGATGTTGCAGAAAATCTGTAATAAAAGTATTTTCTATATTCCGACTAGAATGTAATTTTGCTCTGTTTATTCTGAATTGAATAAAGGAAGGACAAACTTGGTGCAAAATATATTTTCACAAGAACACAGCATTAATCAATGTATATCAAGTCTCACAAACCTTCTCTGTGTAAACAGCATCGTTATTTGCTGAGGCTTTGCTATAATTAGCCTCTACTACTCACCCAATTTTTTTTTTTTTGTTCTCATCAATCATTCACAAATTTTAAAATTTATTTGTACTCCCGATTAAAAAACCTTAAAGAGCAGGAGCGAAACTGATTGTTTTCCTTTCATTTTTATTTATTTATATATATATATATATATATATATATATATATATCAAAGTATATAATTGGTATATACGGAATGAATTCCAATAACCAACAATTACTATTCTTAAAAAGAGTGCTCAATTAATTATTTTTTTATAAAAAAATTATAACATAAGTATGTTATAAAATCACTACAAAAATAGCCATTTTGTTTCAACACACTCTGTGTCTTATCAAAGTGATGATGTTGAAAAGAAAATAAATGGTTTTTCAAAAAAAGTTTCAGATTAATTAACGATCCTACAATAAAGGGGGAAACATTGTTACAAAAGCTAGAATAACCAGTCAAATTTAATCACCATTAAGTTTAAAAACTACAAAATTATTGAAAAGAAAAAAAAAACGAAGTATAGAAAGATTCAAAAGTGTGGATGTGTGTGTGTGTGTTGACAATTATGTCTGGGTGCTTATATGTATAATCTGAAATTTTGCTATAATAGACCTATTCAGATCTTTAAATACGTGTAATATTCAAAAATAATTTATACTAACTAATAATTATAAAATTATATGATCAAAAATTTAATATTAAAATTAAAACTGGCAATTTTTTAAAATCCAAATTTTAATTAGTATAGATTATTTTTAATAAGTATTTAAAAACTACAAAATATATTGAGAAAATTCTAAAAATATATATGTTTATTAATCTGAAACTTTTAAAACCATTTATTTTATCTTCTTCATTGAAATTAGTGTGTTGAAACAAAAGATAACATACAATACATCCGGTCATTTGACAATATATATATATATATATATTTATATATTATATATATATATTTCCGTAGGGATAGTTTTATTTTAAAAATCCAATATTTTTGCTAATACCCTTTGGAAATGTGGTCTTAAACTGGGTTCACTTGGATGGCAACTGGTCTGACTCAGAACAAAACAAAAACACAATCAGATTATAATCAAACATAAGAACCAATGTGTGGATGTGTGTGTGTATATGTGTGTGTGTTGTTTCTAATTATGTCAAGTAATATTCAGCTAAAATGTCTTTTATGTCTTTCAAAAATGTTTTTATATATATACATATATATTAGTTGCATGAAAAATTTCAAAGCAACGACTAAAACAGACTATCGTTATTGTTTCGGCCGTGTATTAGTTGATATATTGAAAAGTAATTGTCATCTTTCATAGTGGCTTATGTAAGCCAAAAAAGCTTAAATTGGATTTTTAAACATATATCAATATGGTGATTTCCTTTCATCTTTCAATGATAATGTTATTAAGCTTATCAGACAATATGAAAGGAACTTAAAATAAATAGACAAACCTATATTATTTAATGAAACATGCATTAATGAAAAATTGCTGCCTAACTATACACAATATATATATATATATATATACATATACATATATATATAAATTTATGTGTGCGTTTTTATCTAGTTTATTATCATTGTTATTGTTGTTATCTTTTTTGCAGTTGCATATCTTGTATACTATTTTCTTAGTATTGTGGATGAAATGATAAGGATATTGGAGTTTTTTTAAGTATTTTCTATGTATATTTCTTCTTTAGGTAAGCTGCAGATTCTTATCACTCTTAAATAGAATCATGTAATTATTCCAAATTTAATCTTGTTACAGTGGTGGGAATAAGAATTGATATAGTCATTCTCGTTAGTAGATTTTTCATAAACCTTCAACAGAAGCAGCTCGTTATTAGTTCTAATGTAGCATGATATCTAGGAAAGGTAAAGTGATTAAAAAGTAAAATTTATCATGGGCTCAACATTATTAAGTTATTTTTTATTTATTAATCCAACAGATTTTTATTACTTAAGCATTATTTTTAGTGAAGGCCCATATTTAAGTAGACATTCTGTTTATTTATTAAACAGTATATTTATTTATTTTTGTCTGAGCCTGAATATTCGAGAAATCTTATTAGAGAAAAATATACACTCTCTGACAGAATTTGAACCTGCATCCCCCTAGTGGAAACTGTCATTAGATCTGATGTGCTTTGACCTCTTGGCTACAGAGAGCATTGATGACCAAGCAAAGTTAAAGAGTGCCTTGAAACAACGATTTTTCTCTGACTCTTGAAATAGACACGTCTGCTCAATTTCATATCCTAATGTAAACAAATCAATTTCCAAAGAAAGGGGATGGATTTTTTATTTATTAATCCGACAGATTTTTATTACTTAAATGTTATTTTTAGTGGATACTCATATTTTATTTATTAAACACTATATTTATTTATTTTTGTCTACCAGCCTGGATATTCAAGAAATCTCTGTAGAGGAAATTTATGTGCCTGACAGTGCATATTTTTCTGTGATAAATAAATACATACATATATATGAGATTATAATGTTATCTAGAATAGTAGTTGATTTTCCCAGGCTTTCGATTCCGTCTGGAATCATTGCCAGGGAAAGGTCCTAGTAGCAAAAGCCCACTTCATAATTCACCAAAATACAGCGTTTTGCCATTGACCATTTGATCTGTTGATTTTCTAGTATTTGATTTGTTTTTGTCAGTTCATGCATTCTGATTAATCCATTTGTACCAATTTCCACCTGTAAATAAGCTGCTTTTCTACATAGGTGTCTTCACAAGAATCTGATCTTCAGTACCTTATATTTTTAAGTTTCAAAAAGTTCTTTCTCCAGTCATCTTCAGGTGACATTTTGTGTGATACTGATAATTGATGCAGCTGTCAGTATCACACAAAATGTCATCTGTGGAATGCCAACAAATAATCAATTAACTTGAAATCAATATATCATGAACAATATGACAGATCAATAAATCACTATTTTGGTTTTCTTCTATAAGAATAAGGAATATTTGCTAGAATATTATTGCCATTATCTTACCTTGACTGCAGCTAATGTGAAGAAGAAGTTCCAATGTGTTCCATATTCAGAAACATGTTCTTGATAATCAATTCTTTTAATGACCATCACTCGACTTAAGCCAAGAGTTAGCAAAGGAACACATGACTTTATCGAGAGAAACAACATTGACATCTTGTCTAGAAATGATCTAAAGAAAAATGAGAAAAAAAATAATAAATGTAAAGAAATAATGGCAAATTAAATATTAATGCCTTTTATTTGTTTTTTTTTTCCAAAATGGTTGAATAATTGTAAGTTCTTCTTGAAAATGGAAATATCAATTCCAAAACTCATTCTGAAATTTTCAGTCTGAATTTCTTGGGTTGAGGACTTATTATTTACATGCAGAATATTGTCTACATCTTTTCTGTCATTATCACAATATTTTGGCTTTTATACTCACCCTCCAGCCTTCATCAGATGCTGGACTGGGCAGTGTGTAATTGAACCCAGTGGAAACGGAACCTGAAATAACTGAACGGTACTAAAATAAGAACTAAACAAGAAACTGAGAGATGGGCAACAGAATGAGATCAATCTACCCTGAAAGTTACTCAGATTGGAAAGCACCTGCTGATGAAGGCTGGGGGGGGGTTGTATGGCACAATGCCCACATGATGTAAATAATCATTCTGAAATTTTAATGAATTCCAGAAAGCATCAGGTGGCAGGAAAGCCAATGGCAGGAATCTTTTCTATGAAAAAAAGAAACTAGACTAAAAACAAAAATTATTAAAGAGAAATGTTTAAAATTATTTACACAATTTACATTCAGACTATTGCTCCCATCATTTTTGTTGTTACCATGTTTCAGATGTCATGGCCTCCAGCCTTTATCAGGTACATATCAATTTGAGTAACTTAAAGGGAATTCCAAACTGAATCCTTTATTCAATCTACAGGGGTAAACTGTTCTCGTGCCACTGTCCATGTCTAATGATATCTCATCCAGTTCTTATTTTTAGTAACACACTGTTATTGCTCACCCATGTTTTCGAGTCCTGTTAAACAAATAGTCCAAATGCAAATATTGTAAATAATAACTCCTCATTCCAGAAATTCAGACAGAAATGTTTATAAGATTTTTCAGCACCATTACACTCCCCCCACCCCCTAGCATGTATTGTAACCAAGCCAGAAATGGCGTTAGTCTTTCTAGTTGTTCAATAATTGAGACATGATGAAAAATGACTTGCTTAAATATTCTTACAAGCACATAACAAAAATAGAATAATATAGCAACAATACCATTATATAAAAATCATATTATACACAAAAAAAGTCATATAAATAAAAAATCTCAACATTAATGATACAGAAAAGAATGGATGCTTACTTACAACAAAGGTGGGGGTGCAAAAGTGTAATAGTGCCAATTTTTCATTTTAGATTGTAGATATTTAATAAGCTTGTTAGTCTGGCATAAGGCAACAATTAAGGATATCCATTCAGGATCAAACCCATTCCATTAAGTGGTCTACAAAATAAACTTCCCAATAGACAAAAGCAAATGCTTTTTACTCATTATTATCATCATCAAAGGAATTACTTGGAATGTTATTAAAATAGTTCTTTAAAAAAAATAATTCCCAAAACAGATTTTTTACAAACTGGTATAGTTCAATATGAACCTCATCCTGGAGTAATTATTAGTAAATTAGACTTGTAGTAATTAATTAGTAATTATTAGTAAATTAGACTTGTAGACAAAAGCAACTACACCTGGTACTGTACACTTGTGTCATTTTACTAGTTTAAGCTTAGTAAATCATTGCTAAGTGTTATAGTGGAACACACCTATTATATAGTTAATAGACTCTCCCACCTATAATAAGTAGGAGTAGTAAGAGTAACAAGTCAGTCGCTCAGTGGATTGGTCACTCAGTCAATGTCGGACAACAGTTAGTCGAATACTAAACTATCAGCGACCACAACTAGATTTCTCTGCATTATACCTATTATATCAAGTTCCTAATGTTTTGTACATTGAACCTATTTTAGGACCGACTTAGTACAAATACAAGCCTCCACTGTGAAATCACTCCATAACACTAAGTAACAGTTACATTATGAAATCACCAGATCAAAAATGTTCAATTAGCTTGGACTTCAAAGAAAAGGTGAGGAAGAAATTCTTGTATTTTGAAAAAGAAATAAAAATCAACCATTACTCAACAAACTAAAATGTTCTAACTATCCATACTGTCAGAATCAGTTTTTTTAGATTATTATTTTTTTTTTTTAAGATCTGAAATTTCTATCCACACAGGACATTTGCTTTATTTTTTAATGACTTGAAACTCAAATATGAAAACGCTTATTTACACTATTTACATTCGGACTATTGTCCACATCTTTGTTGTTGTTATCACAATGCTTCGGCCATTGTGCCCTCCGGCCTTCATCAGATGTATATTGATCTGGAGAACTCACAGGGAATTCTGAACTGAACCCTTTATTTAATCTATGGGGGTTGACTCTTCCTTTTCCATTGCCCTAAGGATATCTTGTCTGGTTCTTATTTTTATTTAGTACTGTTCAGTTAGCACACACTGCCCAACCCAGGAATTGAACTCATAACTGATATATCACTAAATTCGCAAATGCTTTTATCCACTAAGCCATTGTGAATTTGGTTTTAACTCTGTTTGCGTTTATGTAGTACATATATATATGTGTGTGTGTGTGTAAACATTCAGATATAAATAAAAATATATCTGTAAAATAACAAAAGAAAAACTTAGCTGACGTGTTTGGTCCTCTGATAGATTTTATCAAGGCAAATGTAAGGATTTTATTTTGCAACAAATATTTATAAACAGATGTAAAAATATTGTCAGGTTTTCAAAATTTTTAAATTTAAACCACTCAAATATTTTTCAGGTTAAAAGACTATAAAAGTCAAGGTAAACCATGGAAGATGTTAAGTAATGTAAGTAAATGACTAATAAATAAAAGTGAGTAAATATTGTTATTGTTTGTCTATATTTCTGATATGAGGTATTGTAACTATTTACACTATTTGAATTGTTTGGACTGTTGTCCTCATCTTTGTCACATTCATATTTTTGACATTGTTCACTCTGGCCTTCTTCAGCTGTGGCTGGGATTGAACTCACAAACTGATGGTAAGAAAACAAGTATGACCAGTAATATAGAGAGCTAAAGTAAAGCAACAATAACAAATGAGGTAGAAAAAAAATAGGTTTTTAAGTCCCAAAAATTTACTGACTAATGTCCCCAAGGACACATGACTTAGTAGATAAAAGCAGAGGAAGACAGCTTTATATATCAGACTAATGACAAGTAAGTGAAATGATAAAAGGGAAAAAAACTGTTACACATTTTAATCCTTTGAAGGGACTTCTGACTAATAATGGTTTCATCAGTGGCATATTTATATGTAAGTTCGTACAAAATACAACAAATTCTAGTTACAATTCTACATCAAGAAAACATTGAAAATACAGGAAAAATGATGCATAAACTTTTATATATCAAGAACAATTTTAGGGAAAAAACTATGGCAAAGTGGAAAAAAAATCTGCTAATCTAATTAAAAGAGAAAGCAATAAGACTAAAATGTATAGAAAGTGCTTTAATCGCTAGATCAACCACAGTAAATTTACATCCGGGTTCTTACAACATTTCATCTTTCTTGGCAGTTCTTTCATTATCACAATGTGGATCTTTAGGTGATGGAAAAATTAATTTAAATTTAAAATTCTCATCCTATCCTTTGTGCACATGTGTATTTACATCAACATAAACATCACTTTAGTCCAATTAAGTTCTAAAAAATTTAATGCTGAAATTTAATTTTTCTTGAAAGCTTTGAAGTAATAAAAATATTATATATATATATATATATATATATATATATATATTGATGAAGTTATTCTGCTTTCAGTTGAATACATAATAGATGATACTCAGCTTTTGTGCATATGCATGTTTGTGTGAACATAATTACTAGAGGCAGTGATATACATGTTTTATGTTGTAGTTTTGTTGAAGTTATATTTTGGAATAGTTTGATTCCTACTAGAAATTGTAGGATATTCTATGGATTAATGCCATGAAAGAGTTCTTTCACATTTGCTGTTTCATTTTGTTTAGTGACATATCAACACCTCTATGGGTTATTTAATGCTGAAATCTAAATATTTTGTACATAATTTTATACTTTCAGGATAAAGTTATGTTTATCTCAGATATACAGTTTGTAGATCATAAAATGTATTCTTGGTAATTTTACTACAAAAATGTATTTTTATATATTTTTAATGTTGCATTGATTGTTATTTTGCTATAAAAAAATATAAATCATTTTATTATAAAAATGTACTGTTCATTTTTGTTTGGGGGTTCACTATTTGCCCATAGCTAGGACCCTAACAGGTGCTACCACCCTGAGTAGGGGGGAACTGGGAACAACAGCAATAAAGAGGTGAACCCATGCACCTCAAAACCTCCAATCTCCCAATCTGAAGCCTTGCTGCCAGATGTAGTTTATCATCATTACTCATAATGCTTTTCTGCATGTAATGAATTCTCTAGACTTGTTGCCTTCAGACAATCACTTATTTGACTCCATAGGACTTCACTGGTCAGTGGTTTCATCAAGTTTAAAAACATCAAAAAATTTTTCATTGAATCAAAACTAGAATCATACTTTTTTAATGAAATACACAATTTACCTAAAAAGGTGGCACAAGGACACGGGAAATTACGGAAAATATTTTAATGACTGAATAATGAGTTTGTCAAGAAAAAAATGTGGGAAAATTTTACATCAGTATACAGAATAGAAAATTTAAATAGTAATATTTTCACAACAGTATTATTAGAAGACACAATGAAATAATGGATAGTGGCTCAGACTGAGGAATTGGAGAGCCAAGTTTGAATTCCACTTGAGTTTATTACATTCCCTTAAATGTTAATACCATTGGGAAAGATATAAATCCATCTCTTCTCCATCAATTATGAGTAAATAACTGGACAGACTGGGTCATCCTTGGGTAGCAACAGGTCTAGGAAAAGTCAAAATTCTGAATTGAAAACCAGTCTGGAGAGGGTTGGACTTTATCAGGCTGTCTTGACCTATTAACACCACTGCTACTGTTGTGGCAGCACATATGATACCCCCTACGATCCTAAAATATGATACCTCTACAATCCTAAAAAGGTAAGGTTTGAATACAAATTAATTCCACCATTATCTGATGATACTTCAATATTTGCATCTGTTTGATAAGAGTCAATGAGAAATTGTATAAATTCTTTTTTTTTTTCTTAATAATTTTTCATTTTTATCTTTCCTTTTCATCTTTTTTCATTTTATCTTCCCTTTCTTTTTCATTTTCTCTTATCTTTTTATCTTTCCTTTGTTTTTCTTTCGTTTTTACCTTTCCTTCCTTTTTTTTTTTATTTCTTCTTATCTTCTCTTTCTTTTACATTTTTTCATTTCTCATTCTTTTCTTTCTTTCATCTTTTTCATTTTTTATCTTTCCTTTCTTTCTTCAAACACTCAAAAATTACCAAACGTAATATAAAATCTGGAGAAATCAGAAACAAAATTAGGACAACTTTTTCTTGTTTTCTTTTCCTTCTTTCCTAAGGAAATGAATAATTTATGCAAAGAAAAAATCCATCACTGACTTTTCAATTACAATGTACCTCCAACACATAAGAACATTGTTGGAAGCATTTTCTCCTTTATTGTTCACTCAAGACAAAGATTTACTGAATGTAACTACAACTTTCAATACACAACTACTTTCTTCATTCGCAAAGATCAGGGTCAATCTGTCATCTAAAGTAGCATGGGGTGAAATTGATAGGCTATATTGGTCGAAACTGTTAGGCAAGCACAAAAGTTACATATCTTGAGGCTTTGCTAAACTGAAACCGATCTTGATTCTGATTTTCTTTTTCAACAGCATAGAGAACAAATTCTTTTTCAAGGTCAGACTTGGTTTTCTTCTTCTTCATGGTCGTCACAGGATCATAAATGACTACTTCTTGCCGTTTTTGTAGAACATTGAAAAATGAAATTTCAAGAATTTTAATTTCAAATTTTAAGAAATTAAAAAATAATAATATCAGTAAACTGGATGGGTTGGGAAGTTATCAGCTCTATTCTAAACACATATTCACAATATTGGAAGTGTTAAAAAATTAATTTGCATGTTTATCTGGAAATAGATTTCTCCCCCCAATTGCCACTTATATTTTATCATCCCTTACCTGTTGCGAACAGTTTTCTGCCGAGCCTCAGGAGCCACCAATGCATTTGATATGACAAAAAGCCCGACTCCAGTATCCATGACACCAGTACCAAATGTTTCCGTCTTGGCAAAGCGTCGGGGATAAAAACGAAAATCCACTGCCAAGATGCAGATTGCTGTGGCAACGTTAATGCATGCACGAGCATAACTGATGAATTTAAGATGCTGGTTTCTGTTCTGGCTGAGGAAGACGGGTTTGTGAAGCAAGTTTGATGAATGGAGAAGGTTTTTGAACATCTCCCGTGCATCTGATGCAAATGTAGTTAGCAAGAGGACAATGCTGAGAAATGTAAGCGACAAAACCAACAGAGCATGGTCACTGAAGAGGGTGAATGACAGCTCCGAGATCACAACCACTATCAAAAAGTCAAACAGAAATTTGAACCTGCAAGAAAGAATATTAAGTTATTTTTAGTATTGTGTTATAAAGAGTTGGTAAAAAAAATTTCAGTTTCTAGTCACTCATTTACCTAGTTCTGGTCACTTAGTAACAAACAGATTTCTTTTGGATCTGCCTTAAAGCAAAGAACTAAATCTCAATTCTTTACTCCCAAATTAACATGCTATCATTTTGCAACTCAAACAAGAACACATTTGATTGCCAAGAGAGAAACAACTTTAAAAGCAAATTACCAATAAAAAAAAAAAAAAATAATGGGATTGTTTATATAGAGGGTGTGATGGAGATACCTCTCACATATACTTCCCACATAATGGTAAGACATTAGATGAAGACACCATTGTCACTAACATCTTTTACCATTACATGGGATGTATATCTATTATATCCTGTATAAATCAACACTTCTGCCTCAGAGAATGTGTAAACTGTGAAAAGTGTTACACAAAATTATATATATATATATCCAACAACAAACATTAATAGATCAATTGTAAAGTAAATAGGGACAGTAGTGTCAATGTTCTTTGAAGAAAACATCAAACGCACAGTATCTGGCCATATTTGAGGTATTATATACACTATTTACATTATTCAGACTATTGTCCTCATCTTTGTTGCCATATTTATTACAACGTTTCGGATGTTGTGTGCTCTGGCCTTCTTCAGGTGGCTGGAATGTCAAACTGGGGTAGACTGTTCTAGTTCCACGTGCCATGTTTAATGGATGTCAGTTATCAGTTATCTCCTGTTAATATCCCTCTCCAAGTTCTCCACTGCCTTAACTGAGTATTGAACTCACACTCTTTGGGTCCTGTCACTGGATCTAACCAACATGCCATGAGGACATCTGTGTATGAATTTCTGGGTATTATAAACATAATGTCTTCAGCAACATATTTTTACCAGTGCTCATATTGCAATTTTTGCTGTTATCATAACATGTTTTTACCAGAGCTCATATTGCAATTTTTGTTGTTATTGCTTTTCTCTGGCACTCCTTATTACTGGTTCCAACCACCTGAAGAAGGCCAGAGCGTACAATGGCCGAAATGTTGTAATAAATAAAGATGAGAACAACAGTCCAAATAATGCAAATAGTGTATCAAACACACACTCAGCATAAAGTAGCGGTTAACAAGCTAGCCTCCCAAGTCATTATTACTGCATTGAATTCAATCCTCACTTGGTACTCCAAACATAAGATGTTGTGCCAAAGTAAAATGAGTTTAGTAAATATCAACAGATTATCAAGGTATAAATAGATTTGGATTTTATACATAATGTGAAATTATTCACCATTAAAATATTTCTTTTATTTCAGCAAAAATATACTTATCTAAAAAATAAATATTTAAAACAGAACTACCTACAAAGAGTTAAGTATATCGAATCTAGTATAAAGATAACAAAAAAATGAGAAAAATAGCAGTTAATTGCTGAGAGCGCTTGACAAATGGACTGAACAATTACAAAAAAGGGTAATGAATATAATATCAATCAGCTAAATGACAAATTTTATTTGAATTAATATATAAGGAAGGTTAAATAAGTAATTCTAAAAAGAATTTACTTATGGTTTCACATCGAAAAGGGCAGAGTGGTCTATGCCACACATAGTGGCAGAGCTAAATTTTATAAACTAAATTCCGGTAAAGCAGCAATCAACCACCTGACCATGACTGTCAGTTTCATGCACAGGGTGCAATCTTCAGACCAACCACCTGAAGACTGCACACTGTGCATGAAACTAACAGTGATGGTCAGTCGTTGCTTTACCAGAATTAAGTTTTTATATATATATATATATATATATATACATGCTGCATTGTATAAATTGTAGGCTAAATTATGCAAAAATGAAAATGACACTGACATATTTACCAAAATTACACAAAAATATATTGGAATACTAGAGTAAATTTATTCAATAAAATAGCCATTGGTTTCAACCAGGGCCTTCAGACAACTTCAACTCTCCTGGATGGTCTCCTTATTTAAATTGGTGAATACTGCAATAATCCTTGCTTTCAGTTCATCTTTGGTGGTACAAGGAGTTTTGTTGGTCTCTTGCTCCACTGGGCCCAGCACATAATAATCAAGGGTGTTGTAGTCTGGAGAGTTAGGTCGCCAAATGTAAGTGATGTGGTTGCAGAAATTGTCAGACAGCTATGACTGGATTCTTCTGCTTGTGTGGCATGGTGCAGAGTCCTGTTGCCAGACATAGGGTCTTCCAGCAGCCAAATTCTTGACCCAGGACAGCACAACCAACTCAAGGCTCTTGATGCAGGCTTCTATGTTGAGTCACCAACAAATTCAAGAGTTCTTTTCTTATCACAATGATCAGAGTGAGTTTTTCAAGTTTCTGTAACTTCGTAATCACCATTAGACTCATCCAATTCTTTCTGACACCCTGCACTGTGGTATGAAATTATTGTATATCTAATTCAAATCTAAGATGTTATCTGCTTTTACAACTGAAGTCATTTGGTCAAGAATTTTGAGATTTTTCCTACTAGCCTCATGTTTTTCAGCATTTCTTTCCTTTAATAATATTTAATTAATGCAAAAAAGAAAAATTACCAAATACTGATTTTTAGTAAATTTTGGAATACAGGAAGCATGGATAGTGTAAAAGCCGAATCTGTTAACTAACATTCGTTCATTTTCTCACAAAAATTGCAATGAATCCATTTCTTCCTTATTGGTAAAATAGTAGGGTAGAGAGAGTTTTCTAGCATTGAGTAGCATTTAAAACTGTAGCGAAGACAGCAGGTAACCACCCTATTATTGTTGTTCTCAAGAAATTAAGACGATTGACAAATAATAAAGAAAAAATATGGAGACACCCTGAAGAAAACATGGAAAATTTTTTCTGTGATGCTTTTTTTTTTTTTTATCCCCACAAAAAATGTCGAAGAAAAAAATGTGAATTCTCATTTTCGGTACAAGTCAACATTTGTGGTCCATGTGAGTGACGAGTCTTCCCTTTTTTAACACTTTTTTTTCAACACCCCACATTTTCTTTTTAAGTCTTCGCACTTGACAGTTTCCTTCGTATTGTTCAATGTTTAATAAAATAATTACTGATGTTTTGTTTCTTCTAACTAAAACTTGTTTATTTAATAAATTAATAGATTATTTCAATTAATCAATTTATTTGCCAAGAGCGGCTGTGAATTCTTCATCGTGATTCTTTCAAAATGTCACACGCACGGACCACAAAACTTACAACTTTTTTTTTTCTTTCCTTAAATTAAGAATTGGTTGCAAAGGATATTTTGAAATTGATAACAAAAATTATAAGTCTTACTCTTAAGTAAACTATATTCACAATATGAGACCGGTCACATAAGTCTTCTTTTTTAATTAAAAGGTTGTTTTTTTTTTTTTTTTTCCTTTCTTCATATTGTAATTTTTCTAGCGATGACATTTCTAATTACTATTAACTGCAATAAAAGAGAAAATAAAACAAAGTCACTTTAATTTATATACATATTAATTATTATACTCACGATGAATTGGCTAGAGAAGGTAAAACTAAATAAAGACAATCTCTGAAGATGACTGTGGCGGGTAAAACAGACATAACAAGTGATACTTCAAATACACTTGTCCCGTTCGTCTTACTGACAAATTCTTCCTGGAGTTGTTTGTAATTTAAACTAACATTATTATGATTAATCGACATGATTAAGAAGGATTATTTTGGTTAATACTGATTGATGATTAAATAATTTTTATGAGATAGAGAGAAAAGAGGGCTGCTTCCCCACCCCCCAGACTTAAAGAAAGATTATTTTCATGAGCTGTCTATGTTCGTATTAAAAACGGATGTCATGGTGCGGACACGTGATCGTATCAACATCCGGTTCGACCAAAACCGGGTTCCTAACCGTACAGTGAATTTAACATTTGGTTGAGTTAGGCATAGAACTACACTGGATACAGGAAGAGTATGTTGCGCCACTCTTCGAAGTAAAGAGTTCGCACACCTTTAAAATCAGCATTAGAAATTCTTTCTTTATCTAGACTCAAAAACAAACAGAAAACTACTTGATAATCATTAATGACTTTTTTTAATCACTTTATTTGTTCTCTCTGGTCCAAATCTTCAGCAACCAGATACAAATATATATATATATATAATTTAAAGGCACTAGACTGGCCAGAGGAGAAATGTTTTTTTACTTAAGTTTCACTTAAATCTTAAGTTTGTTATATATATATATATATGAGGAAGAGGTTATAGTAGTTCCAAAAGTGTGTATATTAAAAAGAAGTGAGAAGCAGCAAACGTTTTTGGTTGTAATGTGGATTTTTTTTGTTTTTAAATATTATGCTTTATTTTCTATAATTTTGCTATATGGGTTTCCGGCCTCACGACTGTCATCAGGCAAAGAGTGGAGATTTCCACATATTATTAAAAATAATTCATTTTTTTTTTATGTTTTTCAATGTTAAATATTCTCGATATGAAACGTGTGTGTGTGTGCAAATATATAGAAAAATAGGAAAGAACACATTAGGTAAATAATCCAAAGTTTTTAGTATTTTTATTTTTAAAAAAAACCATGCTCAATACAACAGTAGAGCCTAAATTATAATATATATAATATATTATAATGCAATATATATATTATATATATATATATATATATATATACACACACACAATGTAGTCCAAAGTCTTGTCACTCCTACATAATATTATTTTCTACTATTTCAGAAGCTCCTACAGCTTGAAGAGATGGTTAGAGTGGCAAGACTTTCGGACCACTGCGTGTGTGCATGCATATATATATATATATATATATATATATGGGTGTGTGCAGGGCATCCCACTTGGCTTTGTCTGTAAAATGCCTGTGGGAGGGCACTTTTTAAGCCTATAAAAAAGCAAGATATTTTCCCTTTTTAATTCTTGCTTCCAAATGTCATCAAATGTAGATAGGAATGCTGATGCCAAGTCACATTTGCTTTCTTAGTTCTCTGTTAACTTTTATAAAAATGTTATGTTACTACTTTTAAAAATGTTAGTCTTGAGTAAATGTTTAATCTTCTAGTTATTTTTTTTTTTAAGAACACAGTCAAGTGTAGTTTTATGAAGGCCAGATGGTTTGGGTAAAAAAATTGTTACATTTGTATCTCTTTTTTTGGCTAAGTGGTTAAAACCCACCAAAATTATGAAGGATCCATTTCTAGTTTATGGAAACATTTTTTTTTGTATATACTGACCAATGGGACGTAGTCTCAAGCTCTAGTAACAACCCAAAGGGAGCCATGACATCCGTAAGCCTAATTTTCCAACTGGCTTATGTCAGAGGGTATCCCCCCAGACGAGGCTATGCCCAAAGGGCAGAGTCTTGTCTCAGGGAAACTGGCTCCATTTTTACATGGTCTATAGGGAATTTTTGCCCGAGCCTACGGGCTCAGATACCCCACTTTAAACTTGGCCTTGTGCCACATCTTGCTGCGTAAATAATTACAGGCAGCAGGTAAATAATTATATATAGAGAGTGAGAGCTCAGGTCAGTAGATGTGGGAAGAAGACTTTTTGATAGCAAGAGGACAAGGTAAATGAACATCAAGGAGCAGAAGGCATTGAACATCAAGAAGAGAACATCAAGAAGTCATAAGGTTACCAGCCAGCTGAAGAGAGACTAAAGAATTTTAAAGTCCAAGTGAAAATTCTCCTGTGGTTGGACAACAAAGAACAAAAAAGAATTTAAAGAAATTTTCCCAAGCATGAACTGTGAATTTAAAAGGAATTTTTCTAAAACTACTATATGTCCCTTCTCTTCTCACTTTTGCCAAGTTCCACAACACTGCCCTCTTGCTAACTTGGACCACTCTGTGGTATCTATTGATATTCCATTTCAATCATCTATTAAACAGAAACCCCCTATCAACAAGACCCTCTTTCTGTTAGCAACATTCTGACAGAGACTGTGATTTTCTTTGCTGTCCCTTGGACTGACATTTTTAGCCTTCCAATTCAGAATTGCACCACTGCTGTTTCTTCTTGGGTCAAAGCCAACATGGACACATTTATCCCTTCTTGGAAATACTAGTGAAACCTCAATCCTCCTCATGGTTCACAGCAGCATGCTCAGCCATTATATTACACAGGAACCACTATTTTTTGATTATACCAGTGTGACAGCTCCCATCACAATAGGCATCTATTCATTGCTGCTCGTAATAAATGTAAGCAAGTCCTTGAAGGATCTAAGTTCCTGTTTGTCAAGAGAATGAGGTACTGCATAATTTCTAACAACCTTGACTCTTGTGATTACTGGCAGCACTGTAATTGGGCATTAAATAGGTGTAAAGCCCCTATTCCTCTCCTCTTCAATCAATTTGATATGTTATCATCCTCTGCTGATAAATCTGAATGCTTTGCCCATAAATTCTACTCTTGACTCACCTGAAGTACCACTGTCTAAATTCCCACTTAAAACTGATCCTCTGTTGAGTGATATGTATATAACTCCTAAGATTTTGTTCTCTAACCTAGATCCCCATAAAGCATGATGGACCCAATGGTATCCCTGTAATAGTCATTAAAAAGTGTTCTTGAAAGCTGTATAATAAATACTTTGCTGACTCCCACTTTCCTGCTTGCTAGAAGTCATCATCTGTTGTTGCAATCTTTAAGAACTCTCCATCCATTTGTGAACATCTTTGTCTTAGGTGACTTTAATGCTCACCAAGAATGTGGCTTAAACATTCTAAAAGGTGCTGATGTTGCCAGTATTCAGACATTAAATTTTTCTATTTCCAGGGAAATCCATGATTTGAATAAAGGATTGGGCATCCTTTATTCAAATCATGGATTTCCCTACTTGTCTCCCTAGCAAAACCAAGCAATATGCTTTGCTACTTGATTCATTTTTTACCTCCCCTTCTCGCTCTTGCCAGGCTTCACAACACTGCCCTCTTGCTAAGTCGGACCACTGATAAGGTGAGAGTTTCACCCAGACATTTTTTCCCCCAAAACTGTTACTTCCCTGATCACGATAATCTTAATCTCTTTAAGTCCAGTATCAACTGTTATCTATTCTACATATAGGATTAGTTTCACAAAGTGTAAAGATATTTGGCAACTGTTCAGAGGAAAGATTATATACTGCAAAAGTTGGAATGGATACCACGAATATCAGAGAAAGAAGGGTTGGGGGGGTAGTTCTTTTCTTTTTTTGTTCATTGGTTTAGTTGTATTTCTTTTTGTTATGTTTTTTGTGACTTTTGTTTTGAGGAGAAAGAGAAAAGACCATAATCTGTCATCGATGGCAATAGAAGCCAGCTAGAATGTGGGTGAGAACAGAGCATAAGGTGGCATCAGGGTTGCCCACTGGAAATACATGTGAGAAAAGAGGCTGATAGATACAAATTTCACATACTGACTTTCTGTTCATGCTGTATATTTTTTTGTCTGATTGACACCAAATAAGTCACTTAATATTCTGAATTTATTTGCTCATTCAATTGCAATGGAAATTTTTCGACATTTTCTCTTGCTAACAGAAAAAGGAAAACAAATCACTATTTACATTATTCGGACTATTGTCCTCATCTTTGTCGCCATGTTTATCACATTTCGGCCATTGTACGCTCCGGCCTTATTCAGGTGGTTGGAATGTCGAACTGAACCCTTTATTCTGATCACTGGGGTAGACTGTTCTAGTTACATTAGACATGGAACTAGAACAGTCTACCCCAGTGAGCGGAATAAAGGGTTCAGTTCAACATTCCAACCACCTGAAGAAGGCCAGAGCATATAACGGCCGAAACATTGTGATAAACATGGCGACAAAGATGAGGATAATAGTCCGAATAATGTAAATAGTGTACATAATACCTCATCTCAGAAATATAGACAGATACTGAAAACAAATCAATTTTATGCTTTTTAAAAAGAAGCAGACATGAAACTTGAAATTTACCAATTTGTAAAAATAAATTGAACAACTGACTCGTATAAGTCTTTCCTGAAGGCTCAACTTACAATATTGCAACCATTACATGAGCACAAATTTGTGGGGTGGGGATTATGGCTTGTTAAGCTTTGCTAACTGGATCTTAAAAGCTGGTTGATTTAGATATTTTAATTTTCAGATACAAAATTTAAATCAAATATTAAGAGTTAATATCTTAAGGACAAAAATATAAAAACAAACTTTCACATCAATTTTCTCTTTTTCAAATAATTATTTTGTTTTCATTTATAGAAAAAAAAATGGATTTTAACCAAACATTTGATGTCTGTATTTTTGGGGGGTTTTTTTATGGTTTTTATGGTGGGTGTAATAGACAGCCTCAAAAGGCTGAATACAAATCCTAGAGTTTTTTTTTTTAGATTTTTATTCTAATTCAGATAGTCAAACAGCAACTATTTTTACCAATCAAGCAAAAGATGACACTGGATTGTCCTTTCTTCATTCCACCAATGATATCCAAGGAAAGAAAAGGGAACATATAGATACATATTTTATTATACAAGTCAATTTTTCTGCTCTCAATAAAATTGGTATTAACTAATTCATGATGGCAAACTTTTCGGATATTTATATGAGCAATATATTG